TCCTAAACATAGACAAACACGTGTTTGAATATGAGTGAAGAACTTTCAGCTTTCACTCATCTGTTCTTTTGAGGAGGGTCTTCTTCTTCTTCTTCGTGTTTTATGGCGGGTGGCATCCAACGTTAAGGTGCATTACCACCACCTACTATACTGGAGTGTGGACCAGAGTGACTAACAGAACTTTACATAAAAAAACAATTATTAATAATAAAAATAACAATTATACTTTATATTCTATTTATTTGAGGAGGGTCTTTCGTGCTGTTCTGCTTTTATCGCCACCTAGCGTTACCGAGCTGTTACTGCTGAGTTTCACTTCACTGCCTTTTTAATGTGCTGTATGTATACAAATATAATATTAATAGTAATTTTGAAAGTAGCTTCTTATTTTCCCTTAATTATTTTAATATGTTAGCGTCATATAATGAAAACTCTAGGTTTTATAGGATGAACAGAACATGTGGTTACAATACAAATGGCTTGTTTCATGTGCCTCAGTGGAACTCAGATGAAAAAATATAGGGTTAAATACTTAAAAAGTCTACATTCATCCTTCCACAATTTAAGTCTTTAAAAAGGTCTTAAATCAGATTCATAAAGTCATGGCATTAAATGTTGCATGCATTGCTAAAAATTATTATCTACCTTTTTATTGGTTTTCCCATACAAATATTTGAACATCCCTAAATCAAGATACATTTCGCCTACTTTATTTTCAATTAAAGAAGTGGTATAAAAATTGGGTATAAAATCTGTTTTCCTTTTTTTTTTAAATGAAAAAATAAATAAAAATACCTCCGGGTTTACATTTACCTTAATAAACCTTAAAAATATAGATATAAATCTTAAACTTACAAAAAGTGCCTTGCTATCTATGTTTTTGGACATATGGTATTCTCTGAAGTATGTTGGAGTACCATGCAAATACTATGGACGAAACATAATGAATATGTATGGGAATGCCTTGGTACTTTGATTATGGTTATGATTTTCATATTCATGTACCATGATATTTATATGGTTCTCAAGGAATGTTATGGCTCTATCATGTCAAACAAACGGGATTACTGGCTTAAAATAAGGTAATATAGTACCATGTACCATACTTTTTGGTAATAGTAGATTATTACTTATAGTAATACTTGTTAGGGTAAAGTCCAATTTTGCAGCAAATAATGTGTACACACGTGTGTGTGTGTGTGTGTGTGTGTTTGCATTTA